CTCCCACCCAAACCCTGAGCTTGTCCCCTGAACACTCTGTCCCTTTTTTAATCTGCTCAAGGATGATAACTCCAGCCTACCTTGTAAAGGGAGTAAGGAGTTTAATTTACAAATATGAACTGGGTGTAATGTGAGATTATTCTTTTGCTTACTGTAGAAGATGACAGACTGTGAAAGGTATTGGGCTGTGTAAGTAGGCTTACAGTACCAGCCGATCACTTCATTTTCATGTAAAAGGGAGGGGAAGATTTCCAGTCTTCCCCACGCTTCCTCCTTTCTGCTCGCTTCCCCTCACCTATGTGGATGATTTTCAGGTCCATGGGGTGAAGGAATAGGCTTTTAGTTCACTTTCAGCAAACCTTCGGAACTGAATTCCCCATCCACTGCTGTACTGGATGTCTAGCCTCGGGAGAGCTGCAAAAACTTAAGACCTGCACCAGTATACTCTGATGGGCCGTCATTCCTGCCACAGCCAGCTGATTTTTCTTTGGTGATGCTTCTTTTAACACCATTGACTTTACTGAATACCAGGTGCAATCTTTAACGGCAGATGTTAATATTACTTAACAGCACGTTCTCAGTTCGGGGCCCTCTCTGTGCCAGTTTGTGTGCAGGACGAGTTCCTGAGGAGCCAGTACTTGAGCCACGACCCTTCAGCCTGGCAAGTTTTTAATTCTCCTCAACAGCTGTATCATTGTAGTGAGTTGCATATGTGCTTGAACTTTAGTTTTAGAAGCCTTTGGTTTGACGTGAGCTGTTGTTGTAGTAATTAATTTTTATCAATGGACTTTTGTTTCTTTTTCATTGCCTGATGAGAGACATTTGGGCTTACATTTTCTAGGTACTGAAGAAGAAATAGGTTTCTCCTGAAGCTCAGTAGCTGGGGGTTTCAAGCATTTCTTCTCTCTTAGCACTGGTACATGTTAGTGTTCTCATTTTGTATAGCATGAATACGCTTGAAGTAGCTTTCTTAAGTGAATGAATTAGCCGTAAGACTGGGTGTGTTTTCTCCCCAAAGCTCAGCATTCTCGTGCTTTCCATCCTGAAATACAGACTTTTATCTTAGCTTTGAGCCTAGTTAAATCGATGCTTAATACAGGAATTCTTTTCATTCCAGTCCTATATGGAAGATCATCTGAAAAACAAGAATCGGCTGGAGAAAGAGTGGGAAGCTCTGTGTGCTTATCAGGCTGAACCCAACGCCACCACAGTTGCACAGCAGGAGGAAAATATCCAGAAGAATCGCTCGCAGGCTGTAGTACCATGTATGTACACTTTAATTTGGACGATTGCATTTTAAGTTCTTGACACTTTTCTCAATACCCTTTGCACAGTGGTTTGAAAGCTACGGGTGACAGGTAAACAGAATACAGAGTAGCTTATATGTCTACTAGAAAACTGTAGCTACAACTGTGGGCTGGGTGCATGTGGTGCTGTCATGTCAGACACTGTTTATCTCCTTATAAGTTGCATACATGTTACAAAAATGCACAACTATGTCACACAGCACTGCTGCTGCAGCTGTGCTGTCTCATGAAATTCAATAGCTAGGGTGCTTTTCAATGCTGGAATATACTTTCTGTACAAGAGTGGCATCTGTAGCCATTCAACAGAAAGAAGTTTGGCTTGTGTTGAGACAAGTTGGTATCATGTCCATCCAACAGGAACACCAGCAGCATATAATCAGAGCTAGATGGTCTGTTTATCAGATACTCAGCTGTACTGAATGAGCCCCTTTGGGCTTCAGTGGATAAGCTTGCAAACTGGCTTCTCTCTCTGCTAGGCTTAGGCTAAAAAGAGAAAGGAAAAAAAAAGCAGCCAGTGTTTTATTCCTAGAATCTGCTCTTTCCTGTAAGCAGCCACCTTTCTAAGCCTGAAATAAAAGCAACATATTTTTCCTATGCAAATATATGTATCTCATAGATTACGTTGGTAATGTATGGCCACGCATTTTATTAAGCAACCAATGAAACAAAACTGAAACTGAGAATATATGCACAGTCCACAGCAACAAAAATGCTCTCAGTCAGTGTGCCCACAATCCAGCTGGGTAGCTTGGCAAACATATATAGCTATTTTAATTTTTAAAGTGCCCTGAAAACATTATTTTTCCCTATGAGAGCCTTGAGCAAGTATTATTCCTCCTTCAGAATTGAGGAAATGACAGGTAACACATTAAGTAAAGGTCAGAGACAGATTTAGAGTGAAAATTCTTTGGAAGCACATGATAATTTAACTGAGCCCATCAGTCCTTACATATTTGCTTCAGCGGGGTTTGGCTCTCTTGTTTATGTAGTGGCTCTTTTTGCAAAACCTTGCTGCTTAAGAGTACAGTAGTTTGGTGATATGAATTCTCCTGAGTAAATACGGTGCCAATCAAATGCCTTTTGAGGCAACAGCAACAGTTTGGTGACTTCCATGTGTTCTGAGATCAGGTCTGTTGAAAAGTTCTAAAGAAGTCACCATGAAAGTTAAAAGAATGCAAGGCTGCTTTGCTCTTTTCCATCCTGAAAAACCAGCATTTAACTGACATGACAGGAAGTGAAAACTGTTCCATGATAATGTGTATTGATCCAAATTGATCTTCCTGCTTGAAGTGTTCTTTCAATGTGGACTTACAGTTAGACCATCTTAAGCTGTTCCAGGTCTCTGCTCCTAGATGAAGCCATGCTGGTTCTGGTTGCTGCCTGGAGACAGCATGGGAGCTACAGGTGTTGCCAGAAATTGATGCTGGTCATTCAGCTGATGTAGGAAACGTGTCTGCATGATAGAAGGAGCAGTAAGAGAGGGTCCTTCAGACTAGACCTTTCTAGCTCTGAATCTAGAAGTAACATAGCTGCGGCAGTGCTAAAGAGGAGAGATTTTTGGCTTGGGTGTTATGCCACACTAGAGAGCTGAACTATTTTCAGAGCTAAGATAGTCTGTCTCTTTTCATCATATTGTACCATGTGGATGAATCAGCCTACGCTGATCAGCCTGCAGCTGACAAGCCTCTGCCGTTGCTGCTTCCATGGCACATTCTTCCCATCGCTGAGTCTAGACTGAATCAGTACTACCTGGATGTGTTTAGACATGGACAAGGTGGCTGCAATTTGTCTGAAGCTTTAATTAGAAGTATTTTAACACATTTAAAATTCCTTAATACTGTTGCAAGAGTAAAATGCCATTTTTTAGCTTTGTTGCAATGTGGAAGCTTCTAGAATAGCTGTTAGTGCACTGGGAACTTTCCTTTTTGACTGAATTGCACAAAATTACCTGCCCTCACTTTCTGAAGTTTCTGCACACTGGTAAACAGCTGTCACGTTACATCCTGAAAACTACTTTGATGATGGATGGAAAGTGTGGCACAGAGTTTAAACAATATTACATCTTGATAAGGTGGTGGCTACTGTAGACTATAAGATTAGACTGAGATGAGAAAGGGCCCAGTTTGCCCACTTTTTTTTTTTACCTAGTTTGACATCAAAACTATAGCAGAAAGTCACAGATTTGCTTTATAATAAATTAAGAAGCAAAGCTGATATGCTTTTGATATGCTACACGGTTGTTATGCTACATTCAAAGTATTCTCACAGAGTAATGCCTTGTTAGCATTTCCTTACCGCTTTCATATTCATAATCACCTTGACAAGGTAGGACAAGATGGCCAGTTCATGTAAAAGATTTCATCTTAGGAATGCTTCAAAGAAGCTTTAATATCATGTTGTATTTACTTTGCATTTTCCTTTCTTAACCAGTCTTAAAATAATACAATATTATTTTTTACTGATTACATAACTGATACAATTTCTTAGCATTATCTTTAGTCTCACAATTTTATCATAACTTACTCTTATACCCATCTTCTTTATTACAAACAACTTTTTAAAAACATGGTAGCAGAAAACCTTGACACTGCACTTAATTAATTACTAATTAAAAATTTCTAACAATTGAAGTAACTTGGACCTTCGCAATGAATAAAACTGCATCCTTTTATCCAGCCAACAACTAGATTGCTATGATTTTGGGCAATGGGATACCTTTTATTCTGTATGAACACATGAGTAGCTCAATTTGTTGATGTCCAAGAAAAAGCTTTCCAGACTATTTTCTCTTCTTGTAACTCTGCAAAATAAAACCATCTCAATAGGGCAATACTGTATGTTGTTATTTATGTAAACCATAGGTACATACAAGTATTTTAAACATTTGGGAAACAACTTTTTTGCAGTGAACGTCTGTCAAAAGCTGTCTGCTGTAGCTGTGTCCATGGGTCATGGTATATATTAGAGCAACCTGCGTACCTCTGTGCAGTGGTTTTCCTCCAAAGGAAAGCAAAGCATTTAGGGGCAGAGCATGCTCCCAGCTCTGAGGCTTGTGTGCAGTCAGAGCACAGCCTGGGGATGTGCATCGAGGATGGGAACATCTGAGCAGAGGGTACTTGCTCTGGGTGTGTGCATTATCCATATCAGTAATGCATGTACAAATAGCGCTCTGGAATAAATGAACTTCATTTCATAGAATCATAGAATGGTTTGGGTTGGAAGGGACCATATAGATCCTCTATTTCCAACCCCCCTGCCATGGGCAGGGACACCTTCCACTAGACCAGATTGCTCAGAGTCCCATCCAGCCTGTCCTTGAACACTTCTGTGGAGGGAAGTTCATTTCAGTTCAGGTCTAAGAACTCCGTTTTGTGCAAATAGCCTATGGGCAAAATAATCATCAACAAATCAACAAATTATGATTCTTCTCAATCTTCAGGCTGCTCCACTTTTGCTTCTCAGTAGTTCTTCACTTTCCTACCTCGGTGTAGTTCTCTATAGTGCTTTCTATGGAAAAAAAATACCAGTCTAAGTCTAGAAGGAAGAGAGTGATGATCCAGGCAGAATGTGCCAGGTTGGTGGTTGTGAGATTTGCTCTGTTCTGTGATGACTGGATTCAGGCAACCCAAAGTCGCCCATATTCCTGGTTTCCAGCCTTTGTTGGTTCTTCTCCTTCAGAAGTATCTGACTAGAAGAAAAAAAAGGCAGAGGGAATTAGGTAAGATGTAAATCTTATTTTTGCAAGCTTTCAATCCCCATCTGAGAAACAAAAGAAGTAATAGATCTTCATTAAGTCACAAGGCCACTGTGAGATAGATGGAAGACTGTGAGATGGCATACTACTGTAGTAGTGAGCGCTGTTTAAATAATCCAGATAGATGTGGTGTTTTGCGCTCAACTCAAGTCATTTAAGCACTGAATCCAGTGCTGTTTGAGACGCCTGATGTATTCAGGGTACCCACACAGAGCTTATAGGTATAACACAGACTCCATGGGAGACCTGTGCCCTTCCAACTACTAACCTGAGTGTCCTTAGGGCACGTCTGATATCACTAGAAACCTACACCGAGGCATTGAATCAAGTTCTCTGAGCACGATTCTGTGAAATCGTAGATTAAGATGCCTAAGTTTGTCTCCGTGTAGCGGCCTCCGTATGAGCCGGCTGTCAAAGCATCCATTACAGCCAGCGAAGAGGTGATCAGTGCAGTGGCATCATGAGAGCTGTACAATGGCCAAAAGTTGGTATTTGATTCACAGTGACATGAATAGCTCTAGGATGCCCTCGTATGTCCTGTGTGAGCTTCAGATGTTGGTCCAATAGGGTACGAGTCTTTAGGTCTTGGGTCCTATCTGTTGTCCTTGTGCAATGTCTCCTCTACGGTTTCTTGAACAGTACACATTCACGTTTAGCCAACTAAATTAAGCTCCATTAATTGTAACCTAGTCCACATGAAGATATCTGTATGTGGACATCTAAACTTAGGTTTCTCAGTCTATAAATGGAGTTTTATATCCTGCAAACTCATGTACATTTGCTTTATATTTTGTCCTTTATCCTCTATATTTGATATGTATATAAAACACAACATTGTGCTATATTTCTCCTCAGTTATAGGTTAGTACTAGCCTTCTTGTTTAGAAAGCCTCTCTCTGCCACACATATCCATCTTTACATGTTGCTTTTCTTTCAGCTGTGGCTTGGCTGGAGCAATGGCAAATGCAAAGTAGTTCAGCATTCAGCAGTAGCTATTGAAATGATGACTGGTTGTAGCTTGGTCAGATTGCAGTAGCTAGTAACAGCATTTGTCTTTCTTCTCAATTCCTTTTTACCATCCCTCTCCTCTCCTATTTTTTCATTCATCTTTCTTTCTTGCTTTTTAGATTCATGTTATATATCTTCCTTTATTGTCATCCCCTTCATTCCTTTTATTTCCTGCTTCTTCTTCTTCTTCTCTTTCCTTGCTTCTAACATAAACGATATGCAGTTTACCAAAAAGAATCTTGTACATTCGGCATTTCCCCCATAGTTGCTTGTTGTTAACATAACAAACTGGTGTCCGTGGTAGTCTTTTTTTTTTCTTCTTTTTCTACTTGTTTTTGAAGAGCTATTATGCTAGTTCCTAGAAGCTTTGAGGTGATAACAAGCATAGACAAGCACAATCTGTTCGTTGTCAATATGAACGCTTGATGCTGCAACTGAAGCACACATGGGTGCAAACTCTTGATATATGCAGAAAACACATGTACAACCTTTTTTGCAGACCTTTTTTTTTTCCTGAGCACAAATACAAAGTCTCAGCACCTTTTCACTACCAGAGACGTAACATGTCTCACCCTCTGATAAACCCTTCAAGACAGCAGGATAATTATATGGAACACTAAATCAGAGGGTCTGGGTAAAACATTATGTTTTAAAAAAAAAAGTTCCTGAACTTACTGATCTGACACTTGGCTTTTATTGGAGAGTCACATCTGTTTGCTAAATACTGATGAATCCCTGTCTGCTCTCTCTCCCTCATCCATTTGAAAACATTTCACACATTTTCTTTGGTTTTGCTATCCAATGAATGGGGCTTATCCCGAGTGCTTTACTTAGCTTAAGATACGGGAGAGACCACGTTTAGTGCTTGTAACCTGCATATCTCCTGCATAGCATAGCCAGAAGGTTTCAGAGCTGTAGTTCTTCAAGCACTCTGTGACAAAGCTTCCTGTAAAAAATCTTGGGTAACTCCAAGATCTCAGAAGACACAAATTCATTTTTATGTTATGGTTTTTTTGTACAGTAGTGCAAAAGTAAGGTGGAAATGAATAATGTGCATGAAGATAAGATGTTCCCTTTCTCATCTTCATCATCTTCATATTGTTTTGAAACCTTACCAGAGGAAAACATTTTATGTGAATAGTAAAGAACGACTCTTCGTTCTTTGACATGACTTGCTCATCTCTAATCTTACTCCAGGAGAAGGTTGCTCATGTTGGTAGGTTAAATACTGCTGAAGAGATTGAGTGACTATAAACAACACTCACTCAAGCACACCTTTGTCTTGCTCACATGTTGTACTGCCATGACATTACTGGTGAACAAACCTAAGCAGAGCCCAAACCCCTTGTCTCTACTTTCCTGTGTGGTACTTGCAGTGTTTGATGACTCATATGTTGTTCCTTGTTATTAAAATAATGATTGGTACTTAATACTTTAAAAAGCCAACTTGTAGTTCTGCTGTTAAGAATGGTGCCACAGGCCACTAGACAAGATACAAAAGGGGACAGGGTTTATTCCTGTACTCTTGTTTTGTCTGTTTGAAGAACTGGTGGAAAGATCCTCTCAAAACATCAGTGTCCATGTTCAGCTGTAGAGGGTTACAGAAAGGGCAGCTGCATGACCTCCCACCACAATATACTGTGCAGGGTAGGTTTGCTAAGAAGTATAAGTTGTGCAGGTTGTGTATCAGCTACAAGTTGTTTGAGATTCATGTGAAGACTTAGACATCTCTCACATAAATTATCTGCGTGTGGTCTGGTCTTTCTTTAGTCAATGGAAAGAAACGGGCACTTCTCGCATGCAATTTGGCCTGTTTGAGACAGCTAAATCAGGATGAGATGATTCATGACAGAAATATTTCTTTTCTCTTAGTAGAAACTGAGTCTAGATGACTGGAAGAGATGCAGACATCTGCATTGTCACTGTCTAAATACAGACAAATAAAACCCATCCATTACGTATGTCCTGAAGCAAAAAAAAAAAAAAAAAAACCCATCCATTACGTATGTCCTGAAGCAAAAAAAAAAAAAAAAGGACTAGAGTTTGGGGTGTATCAACTCCAGTAAAAGTGCAAACTAAAAAGTGATAAAAGAGCCTTGACTATGGGCAAACAACATGAATAAGTCTTCTATGTCCAGAGCTGCTGTTTTCTTTACCAGTAGTGTCTGAACTAGCTCCGTTACGAGCGGTGTAAGGTATCTATATGTGCTCCAGTTGTACTTTTAGGTGCAGCTGTTATCGGCATTTTCTCTCTCCCACAACCATCCCTAAGTCATATAGTCTCCCCACATCACTAGCATAGCACCACACAGCGCTGCTCTTTGATCAGGATAGATGAACTTACTGTCCAGCTCCCAAGTGTGCTTCGATGTTCCTGCTGTTCATTTGTAGAGAAGCCAGGTGAACAAAGTCCATCAGCTTACTTCTTCCATGACCCTGCAAACACATGTTTTTGATAACACTGTTTTGTGTTTTGTTAGTGGTTTGCCTAGTTTAAATGTTAGACTTCATGGGCAGTAGAGATTCCCCTGTTTCCTCTGCAAGGTTGTAGCACATTATGGTGCATGTCATGAAGACATGCTTTCTGATACTCAGCTTCTGAAATATCTTAGTGCTTCATTCCTGATTCAAGCTGTGAGGCTGTGGCTGTCTCAAGGCTATGCTAGGCTGAAAGTCAAAAGGAAATACCCTTTATGATATTTACCGTTTGCCTGTCTTGAAATGCACATTAATCTGACTTTGAATTGTTTCATTTAAAATGGGTAGAATACTTGTATAGAAACCTTCTTCTCTTATTTTCTCCTTTGCAGATGATCATTCCAGGATATGTCTGAAAGCTGAAAGCAGCCACGACAATTCAGACTACATCAATGCTAGCCCAATTGTAAGTATGGTAACCTATGAGAAGTAATCCAAATAGCCAGTCCCTTCTTTCCTTGTTGTTAAAATATGCTAACCTGAGCCACCTCACTGCTCAGGTGGTGCAGCCACAGGTTGTGAGCATCTCACAACTCTGATATCTCAGGCTGTCCTTTCAAATTGAAGAGAAATAAATCTTGTCCATGTGCATGCAATGCCCTTGAAGTTTATGTACTAAAAAACCAAAGTCACTAGATAGTCATCGTTCTACCTTGTAATACTGTCAGGTTTTCTGTACCTGATATTATTAACTTATGGATTGTAAAATTCAACAATACACCCTTAGCGGAGCTTTTTGTTCTCTGAGGAGGTAAAACTTGCTTGTTCTATTTTGCTTCGTCTTACTAGCTACAGTTGTAGGAGGAATGGTTTCTGTAGGCGTGGAGAGCCGAGCTCCACAGTCTTCTGAACTTCTTCTGCATCAGGAAGTGACATTTCCTCTTCCCTTTCTTCCTCGGTTGCCCTACCAATGCGTAGCTTGGTGTTTCTGTAGCTCTCCTGGTTCTTCTCTGAGCTTGCCGTTCTGAAAGCGAGAATGAGATTCCTTACCACTTGCGTATTCATTCAAACTGCAAAACAGGTCAATCCAATTTTTGCTTCCAAATACTCCAGTGTGGCACAGCTGCCCTTTCTCACCCCACGTAAGCTGAATATGAATTCTTTCTTGTCTGTGAAGGATAACAGGGAGAAAAGGTCTCTGTTTTTAGACACAAAACAGGTGTGATAGAGCTAGTAGCATTGCCCTGTCATAGTGTCTCAGTAGAAGTGTCATGATACCCTTTTGGAGGGGGAAAAAGGCACCGCGTCCTTGCCCTCTGTGAGTGCTGGTACTGGAGTCACTTTTACTCATGGTTCTTATTAATTAGGCACTAAAAAGTTACTGTAGGAAAACTATGAGAAAGAACTTGGGATGGAGAACTAGATCTCACTGCAGTGGGCTCTGTATGCTGTTACTGGCTCATTTTCCTGGGGAGTATCACTCCTCCAGTTAAATCACTTTGTGTGGGCAAGGCAGCTGACAATTTGCAACAGCATGAAATTACAGGCTGCTTTCCTTCCAATGTTGTTGACAATACTTTTTTTCTTAAAAAAACCCCCACAACTACATAGAAACTGTTCTCTGAGCTTTGTTTTGTTACTTTCAGCAGAGTTGAAAAGCTTCATTTCCTGGAACATACAAAAACATTTTATTCAAAGAGTTAAAAAATACACAGAACCCAACAGACATCTTCAGGATGCTTCTGTCTTTGGCTTAGGGCAGACGGGAAGCCAAAGCACCTGCATGCTGCAGGGATTGCCAGCTGCCATTTTAGAGGACAGGGGTAGATGCACACAGATTAGAGCAGGGTTTGGACTACTTTTAAGTATGTCTCTGACTAGACCAAGCGCTAGCTGGCCCCAGGATCTGGAGCTCGGGGTAACTTGGCACTCCAAGGAATATGTATGCTGCTTAGACAGCTGTGCACAGCGGTCCAGCTCCAGGGCTTCAGTGCTTTGTTTGCCTGTCTTCAGGGCACGTTTGGTGAGTTATGTTTGATGAAGTCTTAATTTGATAGTAGAAGCTGAGAGGTTTTGTGGCAAGCACAGGAGTGGGAGGTGTTAACTGGAAGTGAGATCCTGTATTCTTGTGAGAGCTTGATTGTAATTCGCATGACTACACCACGGTACAGAAGTAGAATTACAGCATCTGTAGGCAGTCCTAAGCCAGGTCCAGCAATGCCAGCAATACAGATGCTGTATTTTTACCAAATAACCAAGATGGGCTTCTGCAACCTGCCCAGAAGTCTGTGTAGACACAGATTAACTGTTTTTAGTACACAAATTTGATTGGGGAAGGGGTAAATTCTTGCATATGTGTTCCATTTGCAATTGTAATTCTGGATTATAGCATATGTATTTCCTTAATTACTCTGATAAATATTAGATTAAGTGGTGTTGGGGTGGAGAGACAGGACCAAGATATCCCGTTGACATAACTGGGATGAGATTTGCTTTGTCAGGATGCCCAAAGCTAATGTAGGCAGAGGGCCTCTGCTTCCACAGCTGTAACTCTCATGGTTTTACAGGGGGTTGTAATCTTAACTTTGCATCCAGCACTTAATAAGCGTATTTTCTTCTGCAAGGTTAGAAGGTATTTCTTTGTTATAGCTTTCCCAGACGCAAGAGTTTGTTCAATAAAACAAGTCACACTGATGAAGCAAAAATTCATATGGTTGTCTCTATATTGCTTACAGAAAAATTTCTATGCCCGGAGAATAAGTAGGTGCACAAGTGTTTCATTGGATTGGGACAAGAACCCAGTATCTTGCATAGCCGTGAAAAATTGCCAAGAGAAACTCTTGAGTTGCTCTTCTTCATGGTAGGATAGGGACCCTACTGTGTGGGAAGAAGTGCCACAGCCCACATTTGTGTAGATGACCTGTTATTCCAAGGAAAGAGATGCTCCAGATGGTTTTGTGAGTTTGTTTCACTAAGTCAGTAGTCATTCTGCTATGTTGAAAGCAGCAGATAAAATGTGTGTTTCCTGAAGGTGATGCAGTGGGAGGTTGGTAGGAGGAAATCACTACTTTGCAAGCCCGTAGTTTGGAAAGATTCCCTGCAAACTGTTTCATTTCAAGACAAATTAAATACCTTCAGGTTAGCGTTACAAGCATGTTTGTTAATCTGGTATCATTTTCGTATAATGAGGTAGAATATAGGAGTGACAGACATTCAGTCTCTGTTCTCCCCACCTCAGAAGACTACTGGAATATTATATTGGGCACTTGATTGTGCAATATTTACTATGGCCGTACAGCTATCGTGGCCAGACCTGGGCATATGTGCTATTACTACTGCTGTTTATTTGAGATCTTTTCTGTTAGCAGACGCACATTTAATCAACGTCTTTGTAAGTGTGCAGTGGATGTGGAGTACCAGTAAGTCTGGCTTTATTCACTCTTGCAAAAATCCTACCATTTCTTTCCTTCAGACTGCTGCCTTTCAACTTAAATAACCTCAGTAATTATCATGTCAATACAGTGATGTTCCTGGTGCATTTGCACCTTGCAGCGCTTGGGTTGGGAGTGAGCATTGTAGTGAGCTGTAAGATGGGCATTAATAGCGCAGGATCAGTACGGTCTGAACTGACTGGAAGAGGCTTTTTTCCTCCCTGCGCATGTGAGCTGTCTGGTGAGCGAAGAGTGTAAAATAATGATATTTGAGCTTCGTAAAGGGAGGCTTCCAGTTGTGTACATGTCGCTGGTTAGCTCCAGCTTCTGGGTCAGTGGTCCAGTCTCCAGCTGGGGCTCACTCAACCTGAACTTAAGTCTAAATGAGTGCAGCAGTACACCATAAAAAAATCCCCGTGCTAGACAATGAACTGGCCACCTGCCCACACATTTCTTCCTTTTAAAAAATGCTACCCCCCTCAAGACCTCCTTTCCCTCCAATATGTTGTGAAAACTGGGGTTAGATTGATGGCCTCACCACGGCTGGGAGTGGATGAGGAGAGTCAGCAAAGATGTAGTCCGAGTTCTTCCTGTAGGTCTTTAATTTCACTGTAGCATGAGGCCAGGCAAAATGAGTCCTTAGGAGGAATTTGCAGGATAAAAGTAAGGTAGAAATCTGTTTCCCTCCTCTCTGAAATAACATAAAGTACTATGATAATAACTCTGCTATCGGCAGCTGAATGAAAGGCTTGCAATTACAGCACAAGAAGACCCTGACTGTGCAGAATAAAACTGTGATAATTACATCTGTCATATTTGTACTTAGTCCTCATTAAATTTCGGGAAAATCATCCAGTAGTAAATAATGTGCAATCTTTGCTTTTAAATCAGAGGTCATGAAAGTAAATGGGAATTCTGTTTTTCCTCATAGGGTGTCTGAGAGAGGAAAAAAAAAATCCCATCAACTACATTTAAAAACTCAGTTTGCTTATTATTGAAGACACCAGACTGAGGAATGTCATTAGCGTGACAGTTTATTCAAACACAGCATACAAATTTCATCACCAAGAATAGACTCTGAAACTCATAATGGCATTCACAACCAGATTTACTTCTTTCATTCCATTAGGGGTTTTAAAGGAAGGATTTAAAAATTGTTTTAAATTTTAATTCAAACATGAATATGAGGACTCGTCTACCTTTTTAATTTTAATGCTGAGATGAATGTGATTACAAAGTTCATCTGCATTTTCTGGATATGCTTTCTTTTACAAAAACAAATATACTTTTTTACTTTGAGGGACTGTCTATATTCTGTGTAATAAATACAGGCATGAAAGTAGATTTTGTTAGTATTATAAACACATTGAATCTGAAACCTACACAGTAATTTGAATCCACATGAATTTTTAAGGTATTAATCAGAGTTCAACTTTCTTTCTGTCATATTTGGTCTACACTGGATCTCATTCTGATCTCATATGATTTAGGAATATTTCAGCCGGCCTCAGAGGATTTAGATCAAGGGAAATATAGTGTGACTGGGACCAGATCTCACCCAGCATCTTTCTGTGTGGAAAGTAAGGATCTGACGAGCTGAGAGGGAAGGCAGAGGGCAGGAATGAATTGGTGTATTGTTTACATGAGATTTCAAAATAGTCATGGATGCCTATTGACATTTTCACTTTAGTTGACAGTTTTAGAAGACTACGTAAGGAGAATCTATATGTATCACTCTCAAATCCAAATACAGTAAATTTGAGGATATACTCCCGGAATGTATTGATTTTGCTGTATCTCATCAGCATTATCAGTGAAATCATGCAGCAGCACAACCTCTATCTAAAAACTCAACAAAATTCAGAGTTCTTCAGGGAATCCTTGCAAAGTCCTAGGAAGGCAGCTGGATAGTAGAACTCATGAAGGAGAACCTAAAGGAGTAGCTTTTGTTCTCTAGTAAAGCAGAGGTGGAATTGTGGTCTGATATTAATTTATCGAAGGTGCAACTAACCGTGATACTGTGTTCTTCATATATTTGCCTACTTTAAGATACTGTAAGTCAATTTATGTTACAAAGCCCTGTAGAAAAACACAAGTATTGCCACTAAATTTTTCTGTAGTTTTTCTTTTCCAACAAGGGATCTGAATGCTCCTCCTTTTTGTTTGCATTTGCTTTTGATATTGGTAGCGATGGAAATCACAACAGTCTATTGCATGGTCAGTTATAGTAATCCTTGATCCCTTTCTTTCCCTCACAAAATCATGGGAAAATAGATTGAAACATTTCACCAGACTTGCCTTTGTTGTACTGCAGCAGAAAATCAGAATTCCACCATAGCAGAACAGTTGTAATAATTGCAGCTTTTTCTTTCGAAAAATGGCTGTTCAATCCAGTTCTGATGTAAGCCTTGTGAGCACAGTGCTTTGATGGGGACAGAGAGGGAAAAATCTTGTTCTTTTTGAACAATTACTATTAGGATTATTTCTGAAGGTTGTTCCAATGTAAAATGTTAGCAAACAGTCGATTTTTGTTTTAATACTTGATAGTGTGGAGCGTGCTGTTCTCTACTCTTCTCTGGAGAATACGCTTTCTGTTTTATTTTCGTGAAGTGAGAAATCTGTGGGATCCTTGAAAGAAGATAATGGCTACTGACATAAAAAAAAGCCTTTTACTTGATCCTTGATTAGTTAGTTTAAAACCCATTACTGACTTTATTTCTTTGTTCAAACTTTTGTTAACTTTGATAGATTAAGATGCCCTTGGTGTTCTTGGTGGCCTTGAGAGAATAAAAAAGAACATAACAAAAACATTCAAGAACCGTCCGTTGCAGTCACCTTCTCACGCCAGAGTAGTGATTTTTCACACTTTTCTTGAAATACGTGTACATATAATAGAAAATTAATAAAATCAGGAATTTGGTTTAATTAGGTTAATCTTTGGCCTTATTTTTGTTCAGTTAAAGATCATTTAATAGTGTGATAGGGCTTTCTGCCATCTTCTGTTTGCTCCAAACAAGAAGAGTTTCTGCTCATAATTGTTTTCTGTGTAACACAGTGTGCTTGGAATGTAATAATTGTAATTGTCTTTTGAATTATTGTTAAACTGCTGATACACTTCACTACTATGTGCTTATTGTAATGTTTGCCGCGTTCCAATAGCACCTTTGTGACAGAGGTTGATTAATGCTGAAATTCCAAGAATGGCCTATTCCTGATTTATCAGCTAAATGTTGAGAAGTATTTCCTCCACAACAGTGCTATTTGCATCATCCTTGATTTCTTGTGCCTTTGTGTTCTAGCATGTCTACATACAAAATAATTTAATTTATGAAGAAACTCAGGGTAAATTGTTATTTTTCGAAAGTTTGGTGCATTCCCTGTCAGTTACATTTCTAAGGCAGGCTCTCGCCTGCTAGACAAGTGACATCATTTGCAAGTGGATGCAGCCTGCAACAGTTTCCACTGGGAGTAGCAAGTCCTTCTTGGTGCAGGTCGATTTTTCTAAGCTAAGATTTTTAGTTTGAGCTTAGGAAAACATTTAAGCACATGATTAAATCCTGTAGATCTCTGTGGGATTCAAACCAGAACAACAGAAATTAGTTCAACCATAATGGAGAAAAAAAAGCCTTTAAGCCTGACTTTGCTTAATCGCATTTGCTGTTGTTTTCAGCTGTGTTTAGTTCAGTGTCTCAAGTCTTACAAAAATAAAAAAAAGTTGCCTGTTTTGAAATGGTTCCTGAGGTTTTTTTGCTAAGACTGCTTTCTGAAAACAGCTAATTTTTCTGTGATCTCCAAACACCCACAGTAGTAAATGTCCTGCTATCAGAATTGCTTTTGTCAAAAGGCAAAGAAGGCAAGGTTAAAATTTGTTATGAGCAATTGCTTGTTGTGAAGAGTTACTCGCTGATGAGAGAAACATCTCAGTGAAGCTTAGAATAAAATGATGGTATTATAGACATCCTGGTCAAGGTTTTTTTGTAACTATGGGTGGTGAATCAAAAGTAGGCTTTTATTCTAAATGGATTCAGTGACTTCATTTTACCTGTGTTGTATTGTCATGGAGAATTTTAATATTAAGTCCAGCTTAATTATACATCAGAAAATTAGAAACATAAAAGTGCACTCTTCCTTTTCGCAACATTCATCATATTGTTGTTCTGTTAGAATAACTTACATCTGTTCTTTTATGGTTCTTCCCTCTTTTATGTTGCACATAATTATGAGGTGCCTTCTTTTACGCTGACATGTACCATCACTGAAAATTTTGATAGGCTATGAATAAATTCAGTAGATGTCTGTTAATGCAAATGTGACTCACATTCATTCTTATTCAGAACTTCGCTTATAGAACAGAATCGTGTATTGAAATAAATTCTTCCTTCAGCTACAGGGGTATAAGTTAACTCTCAACGACTTCAGTGTCACTGAGTCACACCCGCACATCTGAGAGCTGAACTGGGTCTCTTTTCTTTATGTTCAAAGTTTTGTCGTGCCCAGTTCAGGGTTAGAATGAGTTTGTTTGTTTTCTAATCCTATCAGCAGATCTTCTTTTTCGGCAGAATGGGTCCTAGGATTTAGAACCAAGAAAACCACCCATCAGTTCGAAAACATTCATTGTAACACACTAATCCTATTTACTCTTGATGGCTTTGTTTCTTAGATTCTTTATTTTTTCTGCTCAGTGAATTTTCTGCTCCTTGAATTAAATGTAATAATTAAGGTCTTTAAGCAGAACTTCCTCTATAGAGGCCAAATCCATGCATTTAGATAAATCAGCTAACCAGAAAAAAAACAGAAACTGAAATTGTTCCCCATTTTTGCTAGTTTCTAGTTACATGTGCCCTTGACAGGCATGGTGGAAATGGAGAACATATTTAGATGTGTGGAGCATTCTTAACACTCCATGTAGAAAATTGTTTCAGATGGCTCCTAGGTTGCTATGAAACCACAAGTACTGATCTCAGATAAATGCCTTTGTCAACCACCATAAATGATCTTACGCTGCATGTTGAAGACATAGGACGTTGCTCATGGTGTGTGCTGATATTCATCTGGTAGCATCAGTCTTTTGTGGAAGAAGGTCTCCTCTGAGCTTGTAAACAGAAACAAAATTATTTGCTTGCCAATATAAGATGGAGGGACGCGACAGTCCTTTAGGAAGTCCCTTGTTTCTGCCCTCATGTACTTTCTGTTTCTAACACAGCAGGGGATTTTCTTTTAAATAAAACCAGTCTATGTTCTCTCTTCTTATTCCAGATGGACCATGACCCCCGAAACCCTGCATATATTGCCACCCAGGGCCCTCTCCCAGCTACTGTTGCTGACTTCTGGCAGGTAAGTTAAACATCTCTTTGAAAACCGAATTTATGTTACAAGTCAAATGTTTTCCTATGCTTCTAGAAATGTAAGGTGTATAAAAATCTGTTGTACCTGAGTCACAATAGGTGCAAAAACCTTAGTTCAAATGTCTTTTTAAAATCTTGTAGGTGGATATTAAAGACATTTATGTATATGACAAGCGCTGCTAAGAAGTAGTTGATCTGGAAATTATGTTGAAAACCTCAGGCCAAAGTGTTCATATTTTAGAGTCAAACTAAGGTCAGATCTCCGTAATTAAACTGCTGCCAAGGACTGGACGATTTTCAGAGAGCCTGACCTTCTTAAGGGTGTAACTGGAATTCGTTGTCATGCTCCAGATCAAAGAGGACCTAACACTATGTGCCGTGAATTTTTCCATTGAAACCTACTTCTTGCACACCCCACTTCCCCAAAATGCTTAAATTCTTATGCATTTAGCCTACCACGGGTAGCTGAGTTGAAGGCTGAGTTAAGACCCTCCTGCATAAAGTTAAGTAGGTGCATGGTTGCGCCTACATGTAGTAGTTACTAATGCACAAATATGAGCTTACTGTGCATGCAGTTTTTTACATGCTCGTGTGGCTCTCAGATCACGCCAGGCTAGGTGTGTGCGAATGTCTGATGGAGATGCTGCATTAGATATTCCTTTCTAAGTGTAAAAATGTGCCTGAAAGCTTACTGAAGCTACGCTTGCATCAACTGAAATCATCTTGTGTCTTCATCTGCATCACTTGGTCTATGATTAGAAAGTGTTGCCTGTCCCCATTAAAGACACTTTTCATGTCACAGTTTCCTATTGTCTCTGATGAGGAACCAAGACATTTTCAAAAAGTTTGTTTGCATTTGGGTGCCTGGATATTTAAATGCTCAGTCTGAGATACTTGGGGCCTGGTTTTTGGAAGTCCAGAGCAGATTCTTTCTGCTTGACGTCAGCTGAACTGTTGTTCTGGCTTAAATTTTCAAGTAACTTGTGATTTTTATCTTCAATATCTTTTTTCCTTTGGTGGGTAGATTCCTTATATTGGGCATGATACTTGAAAATGTGTTTCTTAAGTTAAACATGCAAAATCGACTACCTTGTTAGCTATTCTATAATGATATTTTCCGATTCCTAAGGCTCAGGCTTTTTAATTGTATGTTTTTGCGTATTTGTATATTTATACTTCGGATATTTTTACGTGTAACTGCACCTTTACATGTTGAAAAAAATGTGTGTTCTCATTTTTAAAGGAGGTATTTAAAGAACGAACTTTGTATAAGTACTGCTACTGACACAGAAATCAGAATTAACCATACCAACATAGTAGGAATGAATATTTTGTTCTTCTCTCTTCCTAATTTGAACAGCAAGGCAAACTGTTTGCACAGACATAGAGTGACTAGAACTGAAGCGTTATTTCTTTGTTCTGTGATCCCATCTTCCTCATTCCAACTTCTTAGTCAAAAGGTCTCTTTCTTGACTTAATGTCTTCATGCTGTTTGTGAGTGGAGAGTCTTCACTTTCTTCACTTTCCTTCTGCTCTCTTTAGCTATTTCTCCTTCCAATTATCCATCAGTGAAAGTTCCCTTCATCTTCCCACCGGATTTGCTATATACATCTCCACGGAAACCATCTGGCAACCCTGGTTCAGCTTCTGCTCGAGTGTGGCTATATGTCCATTTCTGATGTGACATTCTTCTGTTGTTTCTTGTATTAGGTTCCATAGAAAAGTTTATTTCCTCCATTTATTTTGATGATGTCTGTTACTGCAGTGTAACAATCTACCTATGCCAGATTGGTCCATCACCTACTTTTCTTAAACTTCCTGCAGATCACATGTCAATGTGCCAGTTCCTGTCTCAAGCTTTTTACATGGCCCACGGTATCAACCAGGTGTAATAAACAAGCCAGGAGAGATTAACTCCTGACAGAACACTGCGTCCATAACTGCTGAATTGTAGTAGGCCCATTGCACAAGTAAAGAGCCATGGCTTGAAGTTGCTGTGGTTTGTGTCCAGATGCAGGAGCAAAGTTCACATCCATTTTCCACTTAATAGTACATGTTTTAACTTAAAGCAGGGAAACCTGAACTTGCTATGGAAAATAGAGTATTAACTCCGGTCAGGGCAGACTCTTTTGATGTTTAGTTGAATACAGTTTTCTGTAGTTTATGCAAACCGTGGGGCTGCCACTAGGGATTGTTTAAAGATTCAATTATTCATTCGTGATACATCTTCTCAGTGGTTCTCCTCCCTCTCCCTCCTCCAATTAATACCAGCTGTTGCTGAGCTGTGTTGCTTTTTTCCTCTTTCATGTGCTCAGTGAAGTGGTTTTCTGACTGATAGTGAGAAGAGTGAGTGACTCCAAAGAGACCTGGGACTATTCTGCTGTTCCTTGTCTAAATGCACAATGTCATGCCTTAGCAAGTCCAACAGAAACTCTTGGAGCTTGGCATCCCCTTCTATGGCAATATTTACTAGATGTATTGCTTCTTATTTTTGCAGAGACTTAGCTGCTAAGATTCCCAAGAGCCTAGTTGCGTGGTGGGCATCAGCCACTCCGTTTTATCTTGGCTAAAAGGCTACCCCAGCAGGAAACTGTTATAATTGTTTCCACTGCTGTAAGCATTTCAAGCTGATTTCTAGAAAACACTTGTCTACAAAGTATTTGTTTTGCTTGAAAGTGTAAGACAGCTTTCTTGGCATTTACAACACAGCTGATATCTGTAATGAAATCCAAACTGCTCCTGATTTGTCCTGACTGTCTGGATTTTATGCTCAAATTCAAGACATAGTTTCTAAACCGAGTTTCTCTTAAACTTGCATTGGATTCTACCACCAATCAGTGACTACGTCTACATTAGCCATCAGTGTGGCCCACTAGGAACGAATTTGTAGAGTATCACAGTATTTAATTTGTCAGTTTTACTTTAGACCAACTGTTCAGTGGTCCAATGGACCAAATGCCTGATGGCAGCGGTGAAGGCTACAGATGCGTCTGGAAGATACTTCTTCCAAAAGGAACCCAGTTCCTGAGCTCTAACGCTGCCCTGCAGTGTCTGCTGCTCTGTCATCTACGTAGTCATGTGGTCACATCTATTATCTCTATTTGAGACCAAACAGATGATTTAGTTTTGGATAATCTTTTTTCCTATTTTATTGGCAGGGGCCTCCCAAACCTCTTTTGTTGGTTCCCTGCCCAGTATTTTTGTGCAAGTACTATTAGACACTCAGCAAGCAAATCCCATTTAATGTTTTCAGATTGCCCAGATCTGAACAAAGATTGTGGTCAGATCAGTGTCTTCTTTTTCTCAAACTGGGCAAAGCTTTCTGATAAAACATTGATGATGCTTTGTCCGAGCTCATCTGTTTAGCATTCTTGCTACTGGTAGGCAGATCCATGCCTAGTACCACTATGCAACTGAGGAGGACTAGTTTCAGTCCTCTCACTAGTAACCAATTCTTGGAAGATTATGTCCTTTTTGGTAAGGTGAGGAAGAAGAGCAGGTATTGTTCTTCAGTACCACCTACGCTGGATCACTAGAGCCGGCCGTTAGACTCAGCATTTTCTGTACACCTTCCAATTAATTTGGGTTGTCATGTTGACCTGAAAGAGATTAGCCTGATGAAAAATTTGCTTTCAAAGGTGCAGTTTTTGAGCTGGAGATAGTCCAAACTCCTGTGTATTGGTCGTTTTCAAATGGTATTCAAACAAGTTTTGTATGTATTGTAAAAATAATAATGATAAAAAAGGCAGGAATCTTACTCTGGCTTTTCTAAAGGTATAAGGCCACTTCCAGGCATCAGCCTTCCACGGTTGCCTGCGTCCTTCAAGTTTACTTCTCCAGCTCCTGCTACTCTTGGCATAGCTCCTCTAAGTCAGCAAGTGCCTAGTTCCAACTTCCCTGGCTTACCTATTTCTTTCAAAACTTTGTAGCCTGCAGGAGTTGTGTTGTCAGCCGTCTCATTGATCTGTTTTGCCACAGGGCTTCCTAATCTGTCTGGATACTCTGTGTTTGCGGCTCAAGCAGAGATTTCATCTCTGCCTGCATGTCATCTTGTAGACCGCTCTGGAAATTTTCCAGCTACTACTTTAATTAATTCTGAAAACCCTCCAGCTGATTTAAGTCTTCTTTTAATTTCATCTGGTCTTGTTTTCATCTCTTTTTACCAATTACTATTTCTGAGAGATATCTCTTTCATTGATTCTATTTTGGTTCAGTGGGAATTCCACCTCACGATTCCCTTTCTTGAAAACTGGATGCCTCTCCTCACATGGTATTAATCCATTTTTACCTGAGTGGTTAAACAATTTGCCAGGTCTATGGGTTGTTTTCTTCTCAGCTGGAAAGAGATTTCATCCTCAGGATAGGGTTTTGCTTTGATATAGTTCCATTTTATTTACAAAGAAAGTACAGAGTTTTGTTTCCGTGAACAAAGACAGAATCAAATAAGAGGCAATAAATTCTTTTTTCCAAACCTCATTCACCCAGTGTTTTACCCCCAACCTCTCTTTCAGCTTTTCTTCTACCAGGATCACAATGCGAGTTTGTCGAGCTGTGCTGGTGGTTTCTTTATTCCTTTTACACATTTTTGCTGCTTATCGGGATTAATCATCTTGCCTTGATTAATGCCTCTCGCTCTGCATTAAGCATATCGGTTTCTAGAGAAATTCATGGGTCCATATGCTTCACGTTTCTCTTGGTTTTGATGATAACTTCAGTAATTTCAGTTATCAGGCTCCATAAAAGAGTTTGCTTGTTTCTTACATTTATCTTGAATGAAAGGTGATGATTTTGTCCAGCAGCTTCAGTGAGATTTCACTCATCTCTTTCACATAACGCTATTAAAATTCAACATCTCTTTGAACATAATTCAAAAGAAAGAGGATGTAGAACATTTCTGATCTATAACAAGTTTTCGCAGCAGGAGTTCCATGTTGTGAATAATTCTGGAGGCATAAAATTTTATTATTTCCTGTATGTGCTAGGTTATAA